CAGTGCCCCCCAGTGCCCCCCAATCCCCTCCCAGTCCCTCCCAATCCCTCCCAGTCCCTCCCAGTGCCCCTCAATCCCCTCCCAGTTGCTCCCAGTTCCCCTCACACGTCACTTCCAGTCTGACGCTAGTGCTGTCCCCGCCCCCCGGAAGTGACGTCACTGCTCGGCACCGCAAGATGGCGCCGTCATCCTCGGGGGTCACGCTCAGCACGAGGCGGTTCCGGGTCACGTGGTCGGTGTCATGTGACCACGAACCCTCCAATGGGCGCCCGTCCTGCGGGAAAGGGGGCGGGGCCACATTGAGGAGCTCCCAGTTTGAACCAGTTCGTCCCAGTGACCTCCCAGTCCATCCCAGTGACCTCCCAGTCCATCCCAGTCCCTTCCAGTCCATCCCAGTGACTTCCCAGTCCATCCCAGTCCCTTCCAGTTCATCACAGTGACCTCTCAGTTCATCCCAGTCCATCCCAGTGACCTCCCAGTTCAGCCCAGTGATCTCCCAGTGACCTCACAGTTTGAACCAGTTCATCCCAGTGACCTCCCACTTCATCCCAGTTCATTCCAGTGACCTCCCGTGACCTCCCAGTCCATCTCAGTCCATCCCAGTGACCTCCCAGTCCATCCCAGTGACCTCCCAGTCCATCCCAGTGACCTCCCAGTGACCTCCCAGTTCATCCCAGTGACCTCCCAGTTCATCCCAGTGACCTCCCAGTGACCTTCCAGTCCATCCCAGTTCATCCCAGTGACCTCCCAGTTCATCCCAGTCCATCCCAGTGACCTTCCAGTCTATCCCAGTTCATCCCAGTGACCTCCCAGTCCATCCCAGTGACCTCCCAGTTCATCCCAGTGACCTCCCAATGCCCCCAGTCCCTTCTCCCAGTGCTCCCAATGCTCCCAGTGCCCCATCCCAGCCCTCCCCGTGCTCCCAGTACCTTGTCCCAGTGCTCCCAGTGCCCCATCCCAGCGCTCCCAGTGCTCCCAGTTCCTTCTCCCAGTGCTCCCAGTTCCCCATCCCGGCGCTCCCAGTGCTCCCAGTGCCCCATCCCAGCCCTCCCAGTGCTCCCAGTACCTTGTCCCAGTGCAAACTGGGTGGGGGGTTCCCCCCCCGGGCCACACAAACCAGTTTGAGCGTCTGCCCCGCCCGCACCTGCGGGGACTCCAGGCCCTCGATACTGGGAGCACTGGGAGGAACTGGGAGGGCATTGGGGGTTAACTGGGGGGCACTGGGAGAGGATTGGGGGGCACTGGGAGGGACTGGGAGGGACTGGGAGGGACTGGGGGGCACT